CCCCCCCCTCCCAGCCGCAAGCTGTACTGTCTCATTTACAGTGATAGGTCTCAGCCAATGTTTCTGGGAAATTGTAGGTATTGTGCTAACTGTATATTGCAACTTGATTAATAGTGGGTTATATTGTACAAACTGTTCGTCTTGTGTCCCACTGATGGATTTCATTGTGTAAATGTACGCTTGGCAGGAAAACTTTTCGTGTACTTGATCAATTATGTTTTCAGAGCATAGTCATGAGCCTATTTCATTGCATTATGCCATTTTCATAGGTTGGCCTAAATTGAAAAAAAAGATAACCTCAATTCTTGAATTTTATTTGTAGTGCAATTTGTCTCACTTTTATTGCCACTGCTGGTTTACTTATCAAGATTATGTGCTGAAAGTATAACACCTTGAAAGCATTTCAAAAGTACCAATCTATAAATTTTTGGATATATGACATATTTGTCTCACAAATGCAGTAAAATCCTACTAAAACTAAATAGGTGGTGAGGTTGTAGTAAAATTCTATTGAAACTAACTCTGCTTTTGCTCTATTGCTCCCAGGATGCTGTATCTGCTAATGAAGGATATCCGCAGAAGCAACGCGAGCCCGTCCAGGGTGACAGACATTCTCATACGACTCAGAAATGGCATCAACGGAAAATTTGAAATCAACACACAACAGGTAAAGAAAAAAGAAATATTGTTCGTGTATATTGTGTATGGTCTTGCGCGCACAGAGAGAAACATGCATATAGCTAACAGGTTTTCAGGTCCCGAATGTTTTCTTATGCATTATATTCTTTGTATTTAAAACACGTGCATTGCGAAATTAGTACATTATGAAAAGATTTACGTCTCCCTCAGATTTCGTTATGTGCGTGCTGGACTGTTTGTTCTTTTAAATTGTTCATGAAAGAAGGGCTAAAACCCAGATGGCTGCTTGATCAGAAAAGTAAAAGTAAAGTAAATTGTGCACGAATTAATATATTTGCAGATATTTGCAGACAGAGTTTGATTGTTTTTCTACCCTTTACATTGCGTTTGATTACTTCAAATCCTGATATTATACTCTTCTGTCCAAAATGTGAGTAGGTGGGTGGTAGGTGGGTACTCTAGGATGGTTTGCTACTTTTTTCCTATCAAACATTTATCGTTCTTATCTCTCCTCCTTTGAGTCAATAGTGCCGTAATACACCTACTCAAACAAACAAGTCTCCCCCTTCTTTTGTATGTTACTCTCTTCCAACACCTCTAATAGGGGGATCTTGTGGCCTAGAGGTTAAGGTGTTCACCTCTCATTCAAAGGTCCTGGGTGTTGGTATCCGGGTAGCGACCGAAAAATTTTCTTCTCTGAATTTGTCTCCTTTCACCTCATTTCCTGCTCTCTAGCAATGTTCTGTAGTCTGCTTTCGTCTCCTCTTTTTGCCCCCACCCCCTCATCTCCTTTGCCCCTTCCTCTGGGATCCTGATTCTGTCTGCAGCCTTTCTACTGCTACTCCTTCGCTTCTTTGTACTGCTGTCTTTCAGCCACACCCCTGATCTTCTGGTAGGAAAGATCTACACCTAGCCTTCTCGGACAAGGGCGAAAAATCTCGGAGGGTCCGTGTGCAAGTTGCGCACATTAAAGATCCCTTGGTGGTCTAAAATCGATAAGAGTAGGCTTCGGCCGTCACCCAGGCAAAATTCAAATTTTCTTACCAACTGAAAATATTACGTGTGTCCCGCGCGCTCATATGACCTTATGCAGTTGCGAGCGCTGTTAAACACTTGACGAAAACCAAAAAAAGATCTGCACCTAGCCTTTTCGGACAAGGGCGAAAAATCTCAGGTCTCGTGTGCAATTTGCACACGTTAAAAATCTTTTGGTGGTCTTAAATCGATAAGAGTAGGCTTCGGCCGCCACCCGGGCAAAATTCAAAATTTCCTACCACCTGAAAATGTTTAACTTTTCATCTCCGGCAAGCCGCCCACAGAGGCTCACAGTCGGAGCTGCTGTGCCAGTGAGCAGCTGATAGCGGAGCGGCTGGGGCACATTCCTTTGCGACGACTTCGACATCAAATTACTTTTCGGCAAACAGGGTTCTTTTACAGGGAGTTCATTCATTAGATGAAGTACCATCATAATGGGTTCGCTAGTTTCAATTTAATACCCATTTATTGACGTTTTCGTCATTTTTAGATTTAGTACCAAAAAAAGGGCCCCTCAGAGATAAAGAATTAATGGGTCTCGTGCGCTCATATGACCTTATGCAGTTGCGAGCGCTGTAAAACACTTCCCAAAAAACCCCCTTAAAAAACCATCTCTAATCCTCAGCACTTATATGATAATTGTGTTGCAAGTGCTGTAAAACCCTTATTGCAAAGTGAGTAGTGCTGTTAAACAAAGTCTTTGATTTATTTGTTTTGACTGATTTGACACAGGATGCCCATGAGCTGTTGACGGAGTTGCTGAACCGCACCCACGAGGAAGTGAAGGCCGTCATGAAGAAAAAGGGAGAGCAGCAGGATGGAGGTGAAGGCACATCTGGTCAGGCTTCTGGAGGTCAGAGTTCCTTTCCACCAAAGTCCGAGCAGACGTCGTCATCTTCGACTGCGAGCGGCTCAACTGCCAGTGGCTCGACTTCGAGTGGTTCATCGACTGAGAGTGCCTCCTCGGCAGCTGCTGTGTCAAATAGCTGCTCGGCTCAGGATCAGCCGAGTCCCGTGGACACAAACTTCAAATGGTTTTACCAAGAGTCGTGGCAGTGTAAAGTGTACGTTGGGGTCTACAACGTTAGGGGCTTTCGTGGTCTTGGGTTTGGGTGTTGGTCTCTTTCAATAGGTCTCGGGTTAGAAACCTTACAGTGATGAAAAAATGTTCATCTCTAAAGTATTCTTTCTCCTCCTTTATGGGAAATTATAGAGTGAAATTGAATTATTAAAAGTTTTTATGTTATTTATGAAAGTTGTTTTAGATTGAAAATATATATTTACACCGAACTTTAAATATTTTAACATTTTAAGATCTAACTACTGACCCGTTTCCAGCAGTACAGCAGAGATGCCAACCAGTACGATTTTACGTATTTTAGTACGATTTTTTGTCGAAAATACGCGAATACGACTTTTCATGTAAAAATACGCATCCTGGAATGCGAAAAATACGAGATTCAGCTTGGACGAGTAATCCTAATTATCTCAAGTCCCATCTTTTGTCAAAATAGTTTCAGTATCGCGGAACTGGAATATTTGAAAACCAAGTCCGTTAAGGTCAGTAAGTTCAGCCTTTCCCCGTCCGAGAGCATTTCACTTTCACGCGGACAGGCGGCAGGCGGAAGTGTATGTGACACCGAGGCTCGATCGGGAAATTCAAGATCTACTTTCGCTTTCGCTACCACAGAAAAGTTTGCCAGTGGTAGTCTGATAACGCAACATTTGTGACATGCAGGTTGTGCAGTATAAACACTGTGTCGCCGTGCAAATGAAGTTTAATAAATACTCCGACTCGTCTCTGTGCTGTCACTTGTGGGAAAAAAGGAAACAAGATACAAGCGTCCTCCGATTTTTAGAATGTCTGGCTCGCCATCGTGACCGGCCAGTGACCCTGCGCGCATTCGCATCATAAAAATACGGCATCATGTGAGCAAAGACCGTCTTTAGTGGGAGTAACGGCTCGGCGAAGTATAGGACTACGGAATAGGGGAGCGGATTATTGATTTTAAAAAAAAGATGCACTGAGGGGGGAGGGGGGGGGGGGGGTGTGAAGGCCACACCAGAGGACAACAACTTGGAAGCAATTTCAGTATTTTGATTAGAGCTCTCTGCAAAGAGCGTGTTGGTGCAGGCCGTGTGCGGAATCGTGACCCTTCATACTTTGCAAGTCTGTGTTATTGAAATAAGGTGTTTGTGTTTCATTGGATGGGTGATAGTAAATTATACCTACAGTGTATGTTGTAGCTTTCTGTTTCAAGACTGGCAGATTTTCAGTGTCACTGCATCTTGCCCTCCCACAGTTGTTATAACTCTCACAGTGCTTGTTGGGTCTACTTGAGCCTTTCAAGTTATTGCTCTTCTCTGAGTTTGAGCAATATCTTTAGTCTGTCAGTTCATAACATGAATTCTGACACCCAGACTGGTTCTTGATGGTCAAAATTCTTGTTCTAGACCCTTCCGAATGCTCAAAGCAGGATTAATTTTTTATATAATAATGAGACGAAAATATTATAATTGACTGAAATACTTCAAACAAGACCCCAGTACGACACTGAACACTAACATGTTGTTGACTGGACACATGTATATTGTACGCATGTGTACTCCATTTTTCGAGCTGGTGAGCTAGTACTTTTTTTTCAGGAAATATTGCTGGACACAGTGAACATTTTACTAGTTGGTCGGGCGGTCGGTCGTGGGGAATACACATTTTTCCCTGAAAATACACATTTTCATATTTCCCAATACTCATTTCGGTCTTCTGTGGTTGGCATCTCTGCGTACAGTGAACTGCGAATAAAACTAACTTGTGTTTCGCTCGCTCATATGACCTTATGCAGTTGCGAGTGCTGTAAAACCCCATACTAAAATAAACTAAAAACATATATCATCCTTATCTCCCCTCCTTTTTTGTCTTTGTTACTCTCTTGTAACACCTCTAATCTCTGGCACTTATATGACCTTATTGTATTGCAAGTGCCGTAAAACTCTTACTAAAGCTAAAAAGACGATGCTTAGGCTCTTTTTTAGTCAAAAATGTTTTCATTATGTAAAGGGATATATTTGTCATGTGGTACAAATATTGCAATGGAATACAAAAGTATGATGCTCTTCTTAGTCACTTGGATGTTGTGCGATGCAGTTAAGTAATAATAATAATGGATTGCATTTATATAGCACATATCCACTTATGCAATGCTCTATGCGCTTAACATGAAACATATTATGGAATTACAAATCAATTTTATAGGCACATAGTATTACATACGCGTGCCCACCCATACTCACGAATGCACGCACCCACACACACATACGCACATACAAACGCATGACGATCTACAGCTTGGATGGATTTTGTCTAATCGAAATATGGTGAAAATGGAAATGCTTTTAGTTTTTTCTTTAAAATTTCTAGATTTTCTGCTTCTCTGATAGTTTTTGGAAGCCTATTCCAAACAAGTAAGGCAAAATATGAAAAAGAGCGTTGGCCATATGATTTGTAATTTATTTAAGGTTTAACAAGGGTTGTTTTGTCACTTGATGATCTGAGCGCTCTCGGTGGTACATAGGGTGTTAAAAACTGTATTAGGTAGTCAGGTGATAGATCATGTAAGCACTTGTAGCAAGTTAAACAGATTTTATATATATATGATACGTTCTTTCACCGGGAGCTTGTGTAGTTCTTTTAAAATAGGAGTCACATCACATGATCATGCTTTAGTTTCTTAGTAATTATTTTGGCAGCAATATTTTGTACTCTTTGTAGTTGTTGTAACTGTTCATCAGGTACACCAGCGGGGGCTCTCGTGGCCTAGAGGTTAAGGTGTTGGCTTCTGATTCAAAAGGTCCTGGGTTCGAATCCGGGTAGCGACAGAAAAATTTTCTTCTCTAAATTTGTCTCCTTTCACCTCATTTCCTGCTCTCTAGCAATGTTCTGTCGTCTGCTTTGGTCTCCTCCTTCAGCCCCCACCCCCTCACCTCCTTTGCCCCTTCCTCTGGGCTCCTGATTCTTTCTGCAGCCTTTCTACTGCTACTCCTTCGCTTCTTCTTACTGCTGTCTTTCAGCCACACCCCTGATCCTTCTGGTAGGAAAGGTCTACACCTAGCCTTCTCGGACAAGGGCGAAAAATCTTAGGAGGGCCCGTGTGCAAGTTGTGCACGTTAAAGATCCCTTGGTGGTCTAAAATTGATAAGAGTAGGCTTCGGCGGCCACCCGGGCAAAATTCAAAAGTTCTTATAAGGTGTGTCCTGCGCGCTCATATGACCTTATGCAGTTGTGAGCGCTGTAAAACACTTTACAAAAACAAACAAAAGTGTTGGTGACATCAACTGATAGATATTTTTTAATGCTCCTAAATTTCTTCAGTTGGAGATATAGATTTTTATCATGGGATTTCATTGACATATCTTGATCAAGCACTACTCCAAGATTTTTTATTTTAGTTTGACTAATAGTTCATGGCCATTGATTTTTTCTTCTTTTCCTCCAGCTGTGGCACTCGTACCCCGTACAGAGAGAGCGATGACACCATTCTCATCCTGCCCATCAGCTCGAAAACGTCAGTACCTTATGCTTTTTTTCCCTTGAGGCCTGCTTGCGGCTTAATTGAGCCGATAGTGCCGTAAAACACCTCAAAGAAATTGAAGCTTACTTGTGGCATGAGACATTTTAAGCTTTTGTTTATTTGTTGTTGTTAGTATAACTGGGCTTTCATCAGTTTGTGGGTGATTTGTAGGAGTTGTGGTCAGGTCAGCTCCTTCTGTTTCTTAAATTTTAATATTGATAATATTCTTGTCCTTCTGGCAAAGGGGTGATTCTCTATGCCAGTTTTTGGGGTGGGTTTTTTTTTGGGGGGGTGGTTAGGAGCAATAAAACTTTTTTGTCTACTGGGGAAATTGCTTTTCAACATGGCGCTAGCTTCCTGTTCCTGCACTGCTACTTAAATTACAGGTAACAGTTAACACTCTCTGTTGAGGTCATGTTTCTTGTCTGCTACTCGGAACGTTTAGTTTGTTATTGCTGAATTGATATTGGTTTAGTTATATTTACTATGACCATTTTGTCGTAGATTTAGTGATGCTGGTTAGCGCACTGATACGCACCGAACAAATCAGCATCCTGTCATTTTGTGTCCCCAGGGATCACAACGTCCAGGATTGTGTGGATAAATACTTCGGCAGCAGTGAGTTGGAGCGCGAGTGTGCCACGTGTGGCAAGACAGAGGCAGCGGTCAGCACTAGGCAGATTGTCCAACGCCCCAGGTGAGACGGTTTGTGGGTGTAGGGTTTTTTTCCCCCTCTGTTGCCTTTATCACTTCTCCTTTCAGTGCTCCTTATGCAGTTGCGAGTGCCGTAAAACCCCATACTAAACTAAATTTCAGTGCTCAAATATGACTAAAACTGAATCAATAGTGTTGTAAAACACCAACTCAAACAATATGCTCAGATATGATGTGTTTTATTATGATATATAGTCAGTGGTGGTGGGTATGAATGATGATGCTGATGTGAATGAGGGTGGCTCTGGACCGCTCCTCACTGCCTGTAGTCTAAATCTGACTTGTGGGTGCTCTGTGGAAGTCTGCCCCTTCTTTTTCATTAACATTTTTGTACTTTTCTGCTTTCTAGTAAAGTAGAAAAAAAACTTATTTGTCCGTCTTGGAATTTGGATTCCTATAGCATGTACAATGCATACATTTCATAAGTTGCATTGCCACATATATGTACTATATGCCACTAATTAAACACACATTGCTATTGTTCATTGCTGCCCTGCTTTTACTAAGGCTTTTTGTTTTGTTCAAGGATGCATCCTATTGACCACCCACTTTAATCAAGATGTGTCCCTGACATTGCTTGACATTACAGTGTTGTAGCTGTTGGTTGGCAGGCGCTCTGCGGTATTCTCCTTCTTTCTTATCGAACATCTGTTGCCATTATCTCTACTTGAAGTGCCATAAAACTCTTACCAAGACAATCTTTCCTTCGTTTCTTTGTATGTTACTCTAAAGTAAAACCACAGCAATATCTCTAAGCTTCATCACCAATATGTGTTTTAAATGGTGTAAGATACCTACTGGGGAAAAAAACAAAACAAAAAAACCCAAACCCTGTGTGGGCCCAGGTCGGTATTTTGAAAATGAAATTTACTCTCCACAGAATTTTTATCTTGATGCTCCTCCGCTACCAACACTTGGAGAATCGCCAGTCTCAGAAAATGATGGACTCCATTGGTATTCCGCGCTACATCAGCATTCAGGACTTCTGTGCTGAAGATGTGAAGCCCCCACCCTACATACAGCCTGTCTTCATGCTGGACAGGTGAGCAAGACTTGTATTTCAGCAGGCCTGTGTGAATAATGCAACTAGTATTGGATTGACAAGTTGTGTCTGTTTTTTGTTGCCTTTTGAATGGGTGGTTTGGTGAATGCACTCTTCTTTTATTTATGTATACATTTATGTTTTCCAGAATGTTTAGCTTATTTTGCCACTCCAGTGTCAACTCAATTGCTTTTCGTCTATATATAGTCCTATTCTTTAGACTTAGTTCTGCAAAAGCAAATTTTTATTCAGAGGCGCCTCTCTCTTGAGAATTGGAATTCCAGCATTTCTTTCGGGCCAGTAAACTTTCATCACATTGTGTGTCATTGTTGTTATTCTGCTAGTCCCTTTGAGATATAGTGGGTGGTTGGCGGGTGCTCAGGTGTGGTTTGCTTCTTATTTCCTATCAAACAACTATAGTCTTTATCTTTCGTCCTTTTTTGTGTTTCTTGCTCTTTTGTGGCACCTCAAATCTTCGGCACTTATATGACTTTATTGTGTTGCAAGTGCCGTAAGCTTACTAAAGCAAAAACTTTTATCACATTGTGTGTCATTGTTGTTATTGTGCCAGTCACTGTGAGATATAGTGGGTAGTTGGCGGGTGCTCTGGTGTGGTTTGCTGCTTATTTCCTATCAAACATCTATCGTCCTTATCTCCCCTTTTCTTTTTTATGTTTGTTACTCTCTTGTAACACCTCTAATCTTCTGGCGTTCATATGACCGTATGCAGTTGCGAGTGCCGTAAAACCTCTACTAAAACTAAAAAACTTATATGACTTTTTTGTGTTGCAAGTGCTGTAAAACTCTTACACCAAACTGAAAGGAATCCCTAAATTTGTCTTTTTTCCCTTCCCGTATCTCACCTGGCTTCGAAATAACAACCTGGTTTTAAAAAAATCTGGTAGAGCTTTTTTCCCCAAAAACAAAACTTTGAAACATAGAAGTTTTTGTAACTTTAACTACCCTTGGTTGTCTTAATATCTTCTTCAGTCTCAATAGAGAGGCTGCAGTTAGGGAGTAGGTTTTGTTAACGTTGTTTCCTTTTTCTTTTCAATGTTTTAGGGAGGCCGAGGATCTACCCTGTGTCCCCGATTCTCCACAGTCCGATGAAAATGATGCTGCGTGAGTAATCAGTGCCTGACTGTTGTTTTGGTCACTTTTACAAGACACTGGCTTTCCTGTACAGTCTAATGCCAAAACATATCGCTGCCTCAGTGCTTTCTAGTCCTATCTCCATTTTTAATAACAGTGAAAACAGTTTGCAACAAAGAGTTAGCTTAAGAAGTCACATTTTCAATTTTTTTAAAAATGGAGATAGATCATGACCTGAATTATTCTGAATTATTCTGCAGATTTTTGTGTAGTGGCACTGGAAGGTCCTAAGTTCCTGCTTCTTTGCTCTCCCACTCTTGTTTCTATTTTGCTCTTTTCCAACACTACGTGACATCATTTTCTACTTATCTTCGCTTCCATTCACTGCCATTGTTTGATGTTCCTCCTCCATGCAGAAGAGATGGGAAAATATTTTTACCATTGAGTCAGCCTAAGCAAGTTATTTTGTTTGTGTTTCCAAATTTTTAAAATCAAGATTTTTGGTCAGGGCTTTGAAATCAAGGTCGAGGAGCAGGCGGTTGGGGAGTGTCATTTGTTGCCCTACATCTTGGTTATCTACTGTTCCATGCGTCGATCTGTCTTGTTTCAGAACTTTGTTACAATTAGCGTGACAATATGCTTCATTTTAACTCACACTCCTGTCACATGTCTTGAAATACTGAGAAGAATGTTCCTTTTTCATTAAGTTACAACAGTCAGTTTCGTTAAGTTACATCAGTCTGTTTATTTTATCCAGGGCTCAGTCTAAGAAGTGGATCAAGATATCCGTGGATCAGACCATCAACAAAGTAGCGGAGGACAGCGAGGACTGTGCACGGACTAAGTTGTCTCCATCTGCTGGAGCAAAAGCAAATCGTGAACTTTCAAAATATGAACTAATTTTAGGTAATTTTGACTTTTAAAGTGCAACAAGCTTTTTAATTGGCATGCTGCAACACATCTTTTACTGTTTGGCACATTCTAGTGGAATGTGTTAATACTAACCTCGCTTGTCTTAAATATTTTAAATAAAAGAATGCTAGAATGCTTTTCAACATTGTCGACCCAAAGACAATGTTAAATTTTGTAAAAGAAACAACTTATTTACAAAGATATAAAATTTTATAAATATGTATATATTACTACAGTAGACTCCGCCTAAGATCCCACCGCTTATGGTCTCCGTTCGCCTAAGATCCCGCTGTTTTGGAAAAATATAATTTTTACTTTATAAAAGTCACCCCTAAGATCCCGCACTGAGGGAGCAACATTCGGCTAAGATCCCGCTTTTTAGGTCTTAATTTAGTTATTTTTGTCTTTATTAACCCTTTCACCCTCAGAGCTATCCCTGCCCAACAAGGCTGAAATTCTGGCAAAAGGGACATAACTCCGCTTAGACTGCATGACTATTATTTTAAAAAATATTTAAAAATCAGATAATAAGTCTCAAATTACAGTTTAGGTGTCAGAACAAGGATAATGAATAAACTTTTTTTTAAAGCCCCACCCCCCGCCCCCAAACAAACAAAAAAGGAAAAACTGACGTCTGAAAATAAGTTTTATTGCCCAGGAGTCACATCTGTTCATTTAAAGTAAGGAAAGATCATTGTACGGATTATGGGCCTAACCACGAGTTACTGTGGATTTTTCCCCCTGGCCATTCGGCTACGGTCCCGGTTTGCATAAGATCCCGCATTTTCCTTGCTCCCGAGCCCCGGGATCTTAGTCGGTAAAATTGTTACCATGTTTACAAATTCTTTAATATTTGTCTTTCTTTTTATTAAATAGTTAGGCTTATGTCGGTACATCTGTTGTTGGAGGAAGGAGTCCCCCAGGGGAGCATCCTTTCTCCTCTCCTATTCGAAATTAAAATAAATTCCATAATAAAAACCCTCCAAAACAGCATAGACAGTTCGTTTTACGTTGACGACTTTTTGATATGCTGCCGTTCGAAAAATCCTCTTTTGAGATCTATGGAAAGGCAGCTGCAAAACAAACTCGAAAAGTGGGCCAACAATAACGGTTTCAAGTTCTCCCCGTCAAAGACGGTTGCAGTACACTTCTGCCGAACAGGCAGATGTGTACTGCAGCCGGATTCGACACTATACGGGGAAAGGATTCCCGTCCAGGACCAAGCTCGTTACCTCGGCGTCATTTTCGACAAAAAACTCACATTAATACCACACATCAAAGACCTTCGTGTGAGGTGCCAGAAAGCGCTAAACGCTTTGAAAATTCTATCGCATCCGGAGTGGGGCGGGGACTCAAAACACCTTCTCCACTTGTACATCTCCCTTGTCCAGTCCAGGCTTGACTACGGCTGTCAAGTCTACGGATCGGCAAAACCACACGTCTTAAAAATGCTAGACCCAATACAAAACCAAGGACTCCACCTCTCTCTGGGGGCTTTCCGCACTTCTCCGGTGGAGAGCCTCCAGGCCCAGGCCAACATACCACCACTCTCACTCAGACGCACACAACTCTCACTACAATATGCAGTTAAACAGAGCTCAACATCGGAAAATCCAGCGCACAACTGCATTTTTAAAACAAACCCAGAAACCAGAAACAAATTCCAAAACAACGAAAAATTAATCAAACCCTTCGGCCTCAGAATCCTTGAGGACCTCAAAAACTTACTTTTCCAAACAAGACATCCAACAAATTCTTTTCCCCGACCTCCCTCCGTGGCTCCTCACCAAGGCAAAAGTAGACTTACAGCTGACCACACACAACAAAGAAAGCACAAACACCAAAACTTTTCAAGCAGAATACAAAAAACTAATAGATAAATGTGAGGCAGCGTGGTGGAATCAGGCTCTCGTCAATTTTGGGGCATGTAGAGTTATTGGTATCATCTTAAAGCTTGTTCACTTGAATACAAGTCGAGATATTTGCTAAAAAAGAAGGTAGAGGTCACCTGTTTTCAGGGGGAAAATTAGCGAGAAAATGGCCGGCAAAGATTAGTTATTTCCTTAGCTTAAGAGTCCGTGGTTACTGAAAATTTACATTTTTGTCTGCTTTTAATCGTTTTTCAGAAAAATTCAAACAGAATTAATGGGCATGAAAGGTGTTGAGCCAAAAAACAAAAATTTGATAAAAATTCTTAAACCTGTGCAAAAATGCAAGTTTCTTTGCTTTGACTATTTTGACGAGAGCCTGATTCCACCACGCTGCCTCACAAATACCCCGGAGCGGAGCTCATCTTCACGGATGGCTCCAAAAAAGACAATGAAGTGGGCGCCGCAGCCCTATCTCCCAACAGTACACACCAGAGGAGACTCCATCCTGAAGCCTCCATTTTCTCTGCGGAGGCCACTGCCATTGACATGGCACTGGACTCTGTAGAAAATTCTCCAAATAAATCTTTCCTAATCCTTTCTGACTCTGTCTTGCATCACCTCACTCACAAACTACACACTCTTACACCCAAAAATAGTTAGGCTACAACAGAAAATTCACACTATCAGAGAAAGGAAAAAACATCTTGTTCGCATGGATACCTAGCCATGTGGGCATCCGAGAAAATGAGCAGGTAGACGACCTGGCGAAGAAAGCTTCATCCCTTCTGCTGGGATCAACGACAAACACTCTCCCACAGACTGACTTTAGAAATAAAGTCAAAAAGTACACCTCCAGTCTGTGCGAGAGCCCCTAGGAAAAACAAAAAAACAATAAACTATGTTATAAAACCCAAACTAGAACAGCAAAATCCTTCGGACCTCTCCAGAAGAGACGAAGTCATTTTTACTCAATTGCGCATCGGACACATGGATTTGACCCACAAATACCTCCTACAGGGAGATGAGAAGCCGTTCTGTGTCGGATGCGACACAGATTTTACCATTAGACACATCTTAACTGAATGTCTAGACTTTGGAGAGATCCGAAGGAAATATTATAAATGCAAGAAATTGCAAGATATTTTTTCCGTCGTTGTTCCCAGCAGAATTTTTGAATTTTTTGAAGGCCATTGGCCTTTATGGCAAATTGTAAAGTGAAACAATATTGTTTTAAAAATTTGTATTGTTATTTATAAGAGTTGTTTTAAATCGCAAATATATTTACACTGAATTTTTAGTATTTTAGCATTTTAAAGTCTAATTGTCGACAAACCGTGCAGTGAACTGTTGCGAATGCTACCAACTTGTGTTTCGCGTGCTCATATGACCTTAGCAGTTGCGAGCGCCGTAAAACCTTATACTACTACTACTACCAGGTTGTGCCACATATATTCATATACGTTGTGAATCACAAATTTTTGTCAGGCAGCAAATTGTGATCTGTATTTTCTCCTTTCTTATTGTCTCACAATTTATTCCAGAGAGCCCAAATATCCGCAGCAGTGAAGTATACAAGCAGTCGCTGACAGACTTGCTCTCTGGCTTAGAGAACATGGATCAAATGTACAAGGCATCGTTTTTCCCTGACAGAGTGGAGAGGCTGCAGACAATTCATGCTTTTACGAATTATATCGCCAAGGTTTGTGGAGCTTTCCCATGCTTTGCAACTGCCTTGAACCCTGCCTTGATTGCTATTTGATCCAGATTCGCATCCACTTTTAAAAATATAAAATGGATGTGTTAGTTTCACCACGTGTGATCTTGTGGAGTTAAAGGGTGCTCAGGTGTGGTCAGCTTCTTTCCTATCAAACATCTATCGACCTTATCTCTTCTCCTTTCTTTTGTTTGTTACTTTCTCTTGTAATACTTCTACTCTCGGCACTTATATGATTAAGTGCTCAAACACTATCAAACTGACAAGATCTTTCACTGTCTTTAAAGTACCATTAAACTGATACTAAAATAAGCACAGGGATGCCAAATATCAGGTTTTTCCGGGTTTTTTTCTCCAAAAATCATTTAGCATCCCTGAAGAAGAAGGCCACTGACATAAGGTCCTTCTTCTCAAGACAGAAATAATATTATTGGAATTGATACAACAAAGGCCCCATACACTTGCAAAGGAAAGGGGAGAGGTAGGAGAGATGTTTTTGTTTGCTCATTTAAAAACTTTACAAAGTTCATGTTAAGTGAGATGTGATACTGCGCTCATTTTCAGGGTTTTTTTAAAACCAAAATCATTAGGCATCCCTGTAAGCAGGTCATGTCTGAGGATGGATTTACAAGGAAAAGTTCTCTTTTCAAATATCTCCTCTGTCTTGGCTGGAGTGCGTGGGTTGGCCATAACTCACTCAACCTAGGCCTGCACTTCCGGGTTGTCAGCTCTCCCTGGGGATTTTTACTATTTTTTGAAAAATTGAACAAACAAAAAAAAAACCCAACTAAATTTCAACCTACCCAAATTTGGTACACATTTTATTCAACCCTTTATATGTGTATATTGAAAATTTGAAGGCAAAATATGTCATAGTTTTTTATGCAATACTCTGTGGAAAAAGGTCTATATACAGAAGTAAACAAAAAGCGAAGAAAGGAAGTGCATTCAAATTTCGCACCCCCTCACATGGTTCATGAATATAGCTTTCTTTGTTTTTTATTTGGGCTTGCACTTCTGGTCATAGTCTGTTTAAAACGAAAAATGGTTACTCTTCCAATTAGGCTTTAATCTGCTTTACACAAATGTAGTGTTTTTGGTTACGAGAGCAGAATTTCCATACCGATATTATTGGTGTTAGGGCTGGGTGAGTTAATTAATAGGTAGGGTTAAAAAGCAGCCTGCTGCTTAACTAATGATCTAACTTTTATTGATGGGTTGTGAAAAATGTTACCACTCACAATAGAACTTTTGGCTGTGGCTACTTATCAATGAGTTTACCATGGATTTTCAGAAGGGATGTTGTAAAAATGCTTCTTCTTTCCTATCAAACATCTATCGTCCTGATCTCTCCTCCTTCTTTTTTGCCTTATTGTGTTGCAAGTGCCGTAAAACTCTTACTAAAAAAAACTAAACTTCTTTTTTGCATTTGTTACTCTTTTGTAACACCTGTAATCTTCGGCACTTATGTTATATGACCTTTTTGTGTTGCAAGTGCCGTTAAACACTTACTGCTGTTGAAGCCAGAGAGGTGAGCTGAGTAAGCCCGACTCCCTGTGCCACTGACTGAAGTGTCTTTTGGCCATTCCCAAAGAGGAGACATATCTCGTTCAAGCATAGTAGAATTGTAAATGGGCTGACTCATGTCACGCTCACAACTGTGCCTGATCTACAACAGGGAACTGCTGCTTTTTCTTTCTTAATCCTTACTATTGTCATTTTCCTCTACTTGTTTTGTATGTTTGTCACTCCTTTGTGACCTGCTATTTTGGGGTGCCTTTATAGTCGAAGCAGACCTTGTGCTGTTGAAGCTAGAGAGGTGAGCAGTCTAAATCTGATTCCCTGTAAAGACTTCTCTGTTGACTCCCACCCCATGGCGCTCATATGACCTCATGCAGTTGCGAACGCCGTAAAACCCTCTACTATTTTAAAAAAAAGGATTTCTTTGACATTCACCCCTTGGTGCTCATATGACCTTATGCAGTTGTGTGTGCCGTAAAACCTCTACTAGAACTTTAAAAAAGCATAATACATTTAGTAATAACTGGCCCTCTTCCTCTTCCACAGAGCCTTCTCACGTACTACAACGACGTGTGTTCCATCATGACGAGCGAACACATGGACGCGGTTGACTCACCGGACTGTAGAGTGCCTGACTGGAAAATTTCCCCTAAGCTCAAGAACTTGGCGGATGGCCTGGCCAGCTGCTTCTCCCCGGAGAATGCCAGGTCCATGTGCCTCATGATCATGGTCGACCTCATTAAATTCGACATTCCTAAAAGTAAGGGCATTTTGTATTTTACATTGGACAAATGGTCACTTTTCAGGACAAGCGGGCTGACCCAGATTTCGGGGGTTTCTAGAAATCTTTACCTACACCAACAGGGACCTATCAGGGTTCCCGCGGCCTCCTTGAAAACTCCTTGAATTTGCCTTCAAGGAAAAACCTCCTTGAAAACTCCTTGAATTTTGCCAGATCGGACAGAGGGTGACTGCCAGGCGCCGTGGCCCCTGTGAATTACCCTGAAGTTTGAAAAAAAAATTGCCGAGACCTGGGAATGCCCGTGGAATTTGAAGAAATCTCTGTAAATTGCCTAGGAAAAGACCCGGGAAAATAAATAAATTTCTCGAATACTTGAATACCGAATCTGATAACGTCCTTGAGTTCATTTTTGCCTGTCGCGATTTCGCGATCGTGATATTTGACTTTTCCCGGCCTGAGAGTACGTTACACACGACGAGTGGTTGGCCCCCGACTGAAGCTCGATCGGGAAAATCAAGATCTACTTTCGCTTTCGTTACCACCCAGAAATTTGCCGGTAGTAGTCTGATAATAGTGATAACGCAACATTTGTAACATGCAGGTTGTGCACTACAAATGCTGTGTCACCGTGAAAATAAATCATTTGTCCTGTGCTGTCACTTGTGGAAAAAAAAAAGATCGAAAGAAAAAAAGTTAAACAAGCGTCTTGTCGGGCTCGCCCCAGTGACCGGTCAGTGAACCTGTTCGTTCGCATCACATCGTGAGTATCGGCGTGAGGTCACCAAAGTTCGTTCAAAGTCTGAGCGCTACGAAGTATAGGACTAGGGAATGGGGGGATTATTGATTTTTTTAAAGACGCATGCGGGGGAGGGGGGATGGGGTTGAAAGCAACACTGGATTATAATAACTGAACTTGGTAGCAGATTTTACTTTTGAGAATTTTGACTACTACTAATCTAGATCTAGATCTAGAGCTCTCTGCAAAGCGCGCGTTGCGTTTTTGCAGGCTTTGTGTGGAATCGAGATCCGTCATACTCATACTCAAACCTTGTAAGCCGTGTTTTATTTTAAACTAAAGGGTTCCTGTTTCGTTTTATGGGTGATAGTAAATTACATCATGCATTGTATATTCTATATTTTAGCTTTCTGTTTAAGATTGGCAGATTTTCAGTGTGAGAGGTGTAAGAACTGTGGGAGGGCAAGAAGCAGTGACACTTTTTTTAGTTTTTAGTTTTAGTAAGTGCCGTAAATCTCTTACTAAAACTAAAAACTAAAAAAAGTGTCACTGCTTCTTGCCCTCCCACAGTTCTTACACCTCTCACACTGAATAGGTCTACTTGGGCTATTCAAGTTATTACTCTACTTTGAGTTTGTCTTTCATGTTTGTTATGTATACCTTGACACCCAAACTGGTTCTTGACAGTGGATTTTCTGGCTCTAGACCTTTTCTCAGGCTCAAAACAAGATTCATTTTTATATATATATAGTGAGAGTATGATAAGGGAAAAATATAAATAAGTAAAGAACAGACTGAAATACCTAAGTCACGCAATACCCCAGTGCCACACTGACATGTTTTTGACTGGATATGATGTACCTACATATCATACGCGCGCGTTTGTGTGTATATTATATACATAATATATAAATGGAGCATGCACTGTCATTGTTATGTAACATGCCCCTGGAAAATGAATAAGCCCCCCCGGAAAATTGAGAGCTAGGGTGGTAGTCACCCTGGAACAGGGTTTTTGTAGGAAAATCGAAACTATGATTTCTTTCGGATAAGTGTAGGCCTATCGGAAATAGGCTTTCGTCATGAATTTCTTGACCAAATCTCCTTGAATTTGGTGGGAAGTTCATGGCAGGAACCCTGACCTATAGGAGAAGATTGGTTTCATTGGTATGTCCATTTGTTTGGTTATAGAGAAAACTCTCCTTGTCTTGTAAAGAAACTGAACAAGGGGCATAAACTTTACCCTCCTTTTTCTCAAAACAGTAATTTTCGGGATAGCCCCCTTGTGCTTAAAAGCAACCAAATGTGAGTCGTTCTGACAAAATGAGTTACTTCTCGCAATCCGCAAATGGAGATATTGGCCAAAAATCGACACTAGGGTCAAATTTATAGACTTCTATTGTTGCCATATTCTTTAAGTATAATAAGCCTTTTATTAATTCATTCTTATAAATTGTAAAAACTTCACCTATAAGCGTGACATATCTATTTCCATAGGGCTCGAATCTGAGAAGTAAATCATTTTGTCAGCACCCTTCACAAATATTTGGCATGTGAAGACCAATTTAGTAGTTTAGACAAACTCCTGACTTGGGAAGGTTATTTTTCAACGTTAAACAGGGTTTTTTTCTGTCGTGAACAGACTTTTGAAATATTAAGTGCATTTTCCTACCACAGTTAGGCTTTTTGACGTTACATTTATACTTTACTACAACCTCGATCCATAACACCCCTGGGAAGAAGACTATCCATAGCCTTAATATTATGAATTTTAAAACCAGATTACTGATTCAACTGATTGTTTATGTGTTGACTACTAAATCTAGTAAAATATACTGATGGGTTGGCTGCCCTGCTTCTTTTTTTTTTTTTTGTTACTGTCTTGCAACTCCTCTGATCCTTTGCACTATATTGTGTTGCATGTGCTGTAAAAATACTCTTAACTAAAATCAAAACAGTTATATTTAGATTGGCATGAGATGCAACCACCTTTCTATGGGGGGGGGGGGGGGGGATGAAAAATCACTTACAATGACTTTGATTTTTCCCTTCCATTGTGTACTCCAATTAGCAAACTTGATGGGCAACATCGTCCTAAAAGCTCTGGTGGAGGACATCCATACAACGCGCTACTCTCACAGGTCGCGTCGGGACACCTGGCTGGTCAAGATGGTCATCGAACTGTCGCTTGTCCTGGCCATCTCCAAAACTTTTGACCAGTGGAGGAACATAGAGAGATTTCTGTGAGTTGTGGTCCGTGTGGGTGGTTGTCGGGTGCTCTGGTTGGGTTTGCTTCTTCTTTCCTATCAAACATCGATCGTCCTTATCTCGTCTTTTTCTTTTTTATGTTTGTTACTCTTTTGTAACCCCTCTAACCTTCTGGCGCTCATATGACCTTGTGCAGTTGCAAGCACTGTAAAACCTCTACTAAAATTAACTCTAATCTTCGCCACCTGTCAAGTCTATGGATTGGCAAAACCACACATCCTAAAAATGCTAGATCCAGTGCAAAACCCAGGACTCCGCCTCGCTCTGGGGGCTTTCCGCACTTATCCGGTGGAAAGCCTCCAGGCAGAGGCAAACATACCATCACTCACACTCAGACACACACAACTCTCACTACAATACGCAATTAAACAGAGCTCAACACCAGAGAACCCAGCACACAAGTGCATTTTTAAAACGAACCCAGAAACCATAAACAAATTTCAAAACAACGAAAAACTCTTCAAACCCTTCGACCTCAGAATCCTGGAGGACCTCAAAAACATACTTTTCCAAACAAGACATCCAACAATTTCTTTTCCTCGACCTCCCTCCGTGGCTCCTCACCAAGGCAAAAGTAGACTTACAGCTGACCACACAAGACAAAGCAAGCACAAACACCAAAACATTTAAAGCAGAATACAAAAAAACTTAAAGAAAAATACCCCTGTTCGGAGCTTTTCTTCACAGATGGCTCCAAAAAAGACAATGGTGTAGGCGCCGCAGCCCTATCTCCCAACAGTACACACCTGAGGAGACTCCATCCTGAGGCCTCCATTTTCTCTGCGGAGGCCATTGACATGGCACTGGACTCAGTAGAAAATTCCAACAAATCTTTCCTTATCCTTTCTGACTCTGTGTTGTATCATCTCTCTCACAAACTGCACACTGTTACACCCAAAAATAGTTAGGCTACAACAGAAAATACTCACCTTAACTGAAACAGGGAAAAGTATCGTGTTCGCATGGATACCTAGCCATGTGGGCATCCGAGGAAACGAGCAGGTAGATGACCTGGTGAAGAAATCCTTATCCCTTCTGTTGGGATCAACGACGAACGCTCTTCCTCAGACTGACTTTAAAAGTAAAGTAAAAAAGTACACCTCTAGTCTGTGGGAGAGCCACTGGAAAAAACAGACGGGAAACGAACTCCACAATATTAAACCCAAACTGGGACCGCGAAATCCTTCGGGCCTCTCCAGAAGAGACGAAGTCATTTTTACTCAATTATACATCGGACACATGGCCCTAACACACAAATACCTCCTACAGGGAGATGAGAAGCCGTTCTGTGTCAGATGCGACTCAGATTTTACCTTCAGACACAATTTATCTGAATGTCTAGACTTCGTAGAGACCCGAAGGAAATACTTTAAAATACACAAAATTACGAGATATTTTTTCCGTCGTTGTTCCCAACAGAATTTTAGATTTTATTAAGGCCAATTTTATGGAAAGTTATGAAATAGATTATTCGAAATTTTAAAGTGTTTTTAGAAAGTTGTTTTAAATTTGAATTTAAATCTAAAGCCTATTTACACTTGATTTTTAGCGTTTAACAAATTTTAAATAGAAATATTGACCAGTATCAAGCTGAGAAATGAACCGTTGAGAAAAAATCAACTTGTTTCGCGCGCTCATATGGCCTTATGCAGTTGCGAGTGCCGTAAAACCCCATACTAAAACAAAAAAATCTTCGCGCGCTCATATGACCTTATTTAATTGCAAGTGCCGTAAACTTTTACTAAAACTGATCCGTTCTTGGTTTTAGCTTCGAGGCTATGTTAAGTCAATGGCCTGTCTTTCCCTTTTAATTTATCAATGCTAAATTCCGTAAACTGATCCCGAGCTTAAAAAAAAAATTTGATTAGACTTTTTTGCAATTTGTACAACTATTATCGGCATTGAAATTTTGTGATATTGATTTTAAACACCTTTTTGTAAATTTCCCTGGCAGCACCTGCATGTTTTGAAACATGTTGGGCCCCCCCCCCCCCCCCCCCCCCCCCATATTCTGCTCCTGGTCTGTTGTTGTTATTGACATCTATGTGGGTGATTGGCGGGTGCTGTGGTGTGTTGTGATGGGCGATATCAGCCATATCGAATTCGATATATCTTTATTTTATTTTTCAATATTGACGTTTTTCGATATTACAAAATTATTATTGATATATTGAAATTCGCCAACAAATATATAGATAAATCGATAATTATGGAGTAGTCGATATTTACAAAATATTGGCGCGCGATACACGGCTGTCTTCTATTTTTTTTTTTTTTTTTTAAATTGATGTTTTTAAAAAGAAAATTAAAGCGTAAAATCAGTCTGCTAATTCCTGGAAATAAGGTGCTGAATGGTGGGCATACCAAAATATCAAAATATCGATATTTTTCTCACTGCTTCGATACGATGTCGATTTTTCGATTTCAATATGCCCACCGCCACTGGTATGGTTTGCTTCTTCTTTCATATCAAACATCTATTGTCCTTATTTCTTCTTCTTTTTTGTGTTTGTTACTCGCTTGTAACACCTCTAATCTTTGGGCGCTCATATGACCTAATTGTGTTGCAAGTGCCATAAAACACTTAATACTTGACATCTATCCCTGCAGGTTAGAGAGGAATGCGACAGATCACTCGTACTCGGCAGAGACCACTGACGAGGTGCCTGACATTGCCCACGTCTCACCGTGTGACCTCAAGGTCGATGACGATGATGACGCTGATGCTGGTGTGCAGGAGGTGCTCAACTCCCAGTTCCTGGGAGAGTTCAAAGTCAAGAAGGATATGGAGACTATTGCACTTTCCGATTACTTGCAGGGTTTAAAGAGAAAGCCAAGCATGGAGGGGCCGGACGGTACCAGCACTCCTGAGGAAGAGGCTGGCAACTATGACTGTATGGACCCCCTCTACCTGGGCAAGAGCATGGATAGCTATACGGAAACTGAGCTACGTAGCATTGATGTAGAAAGTTTGCTAGAGGAGGCCCAAATGGCATATGCCATTGCTGTGAGCAAGTTTGAAACTCACATGCAGTCTGAAGATCCTTGGTTGTCGACTTATACGGGGATAGCAGAGGGCGAGTCTACTGCAGTGGACTCGAGCTTAGAAAACAACAAAGGGGACGAGGAGGTGGATATGGAAGTTTGTGAGAGTTATGGTTTTGAGAAGATAGTGGTTCCCGGTGCCGAGGGGAACGGGGAACAAAAGTCTGTGGAAGACATCCTAGAAAGCATGGAGTGCTTGTCTGAACTGAGTGTTGACAGCCATTCTCGGGGCAGTGAGGTGGAGAAGGAGTTCATTGACTCAACTCCCAGCCCGCAGAGTTCCACATGTTCAGTCGACATGTCCAGTAAGAAAGTGAAATATATTCGCTCCAAGGACCAGGTTTCTGAGAAGACAGAAGTGACTTTGGAGAGTGAAAGCTCCGAATCCCAGAGAAGTGGGGAGTCTGTGGAGATAGGTTCACTCACTGATGGGGGGAGTGGAAGTTGTTCTCAGAAACCCGAGGCCCCTTCTCACAAAAATTCTTCCACATGTGGTGATTATGAGTCTGAACAAATAAATTCTATCTCTCAGAAGCTGAAATGCAAAGACTGTGGCGTTTCCATGAGGGGGTATACGAAGTGTTTCCATTGTGGGGGTGCACTTTCGGAATCTGTTTCAGCTCCAAGTAGAAGTTCAGAAGCTGTAGACTCCTATGTGAGACCCAATGTAATGCCATCCATCATCGGCTCGGTGTTGAAAGATCAGGCAAACATTGTCATCGGTGGGGAGAAGATAACTCTGAACATTTCGCAGACGGCTCAAGACTTGGGGTCAAAGAGTGTCCGAGTGAGGAGGAAGTTGCCGGAACTGCCTGATGATGCTGACAGTGGAGAAACTTCTGCCCACCACCCAGACAAAAGTCTGTCGTTGTCACTGGCACAGGGAGAGGAGCTCACTCCACCCAAGCCAGACAAAAAATTGTCTCCGTCTGTGTTAAAAGAGAAACGTTCTCCTGGAACAGCAACTGGGAATTCTCCCAATCAGTCCAATGAGAAAGTATGTGTTAGTTTGTCAAATGGGAGGACTTTTGTTTGCAGTGTTGATAAAGTCTCTCCCGATGATGAAAGCAAACGCTTGTTGCGTACTAAAAATTCTTCCTCGCTTTCCGGGGATTCTGCAATTGAGAAATGTTCACCTGGCTCGTTGGATCCTAAATTGTCTCCAGGAGGATCAGCCTTTGATGGAGCGCATGTTGTACCCAACAAGGAATTATCTCCCATATGCCGACCTTCTAAAGATTCTGAAAACGATGTATCTCTCATAATTCCATCTCTCCAAGATTCAAAAGTAGATTCTGCGCGGGACAGGGAGCGAAGAGGTTCTCAGGAGAGGCTGGAGCTGCCTGATCTTGTACTGAGCAGTGGTGCCAACAGCCCTGCAGGAAAAAAAGATCAGCACTCTGCCTCCCTCCTGAAAACAAGTAATTTTGTGAAGACGAAAGATTATTCCAGATTGCGGAGCCCAAATAAATCGCCCAGGAAAAAGGCCAAGGGTCACCCGACACCTCATTCTGCAAAAAAAATGTTACCCGAGCTATTCAGGACTAGTCCCCGAAGCACCCCACTGACGTCGGAGGCCAGCGACAATGATTTGGACAGTGCCCCAAGGGGCACACCCAGCACCAGTGAGAGCATCAGCGGCTTGTCTGTGGAGGTCAACGTTGACGATATGTCGTTTATGGGCCGGCGCCAGGACGACACATTCTCTCCCCATCCTGCTGCTGCCACCAGCGGTTCCAACCCCTCCCCTCCTGTCTCCAGTAACTCCCCTTCGCCTCCGATTTCATCATCGCTTCCCTTCCCCGGTGGTGCCGGGGCAGCGGGTTCGTCCGAGGAAATGCTCCTCACGTCGACCCCGCAGCCGGGCTCAACCTCCAGTCTGCTCCCTCCATCCGGGGATCCCTCTAAGGTGTACAGCGTGCTGACTGTGGAAACGACGCATGAGAATGTCATGCCAGAGAAGCAGGGGTTCCAACCCGCGTCGAGTCACAAGTCCAAGGCCACGCGCTCTCTCGCTGGAGCATTTGGGTCACCAGAAGAGAAGGAGAACAAGAGCTCTCAGGAGTCCATTGCCAGGACAAAGAGGCAGGAGTTCATCGAGGTTGGTTGCTGTCTCTGAAATGTACCGTTGAAAATGTCCAAGACTCACTGATCACTTATGAAGTAAAACATCATGTATACTGATCCTGAGCTAAAAAGAATTATTTTTTAAATTAGAAAAGTAGTTGTATTGGACAGGGTCATTATAAAGAAGAAAAAATGTGTTGGGGGGGGGGGGGGGGGGCGTTTGTATACATTTCCGTTGGAAACCAGTTCAGATGTCATTTGATAAGTGGAACAAGAAAGTATGTACAGATGCCTGTCTTGGACAGGTGAGTGGTAACCTCTTCGCTGGGCTGAACCATGTAGCGCTGTGCCTATGGCCCGTAGAATTTGCGTTGTTTTGATACCAATTATAATTTCTCCTTGCGAGATGAATAAAGATTGTCATTGTCATAAGGAAAGTTACTGCTAAAGTCTTGTAATTTTTATTGAGGTACCTTCCCTTTATGTTTACCTCCATTTTCCCCCCATTTGAAAGCATCAGATTCAGATTTTAGCTCAAAGAGAAGATTAGATCTAGATATACGTCTACCGCACAGAAATGATTTACTGGCAGTGAACACAGATGGGTTTACATGTATCTATATATGGATTGTGCGAGCGTTGTATAAGGTAGTAAAAGCCTCATGTTACTTTCTCTTTACCTGCAAACACTCAACTACGCATATTCCGCTTTTTTTATATCAAGTCTATCATTACTCAAATGTGTGTTGTTTATGTTGTTTGGTGGTGTTTTTGTCGTCATGTTACTAACTCCAACCCCCCCCCCCCCCGAATTCATTTCAATGTAGAATGTACATGCAGAAATTCATGAGGAAATATTCATAAATGGTTTTTAAAAAGTGGGTGTCACCCCTGAACAACCTTAATTATTGGGCTTTCCCCAGGCACAGGGGCCTATTTACTTGCTGCATTGAAGGGGTTAAAGAAGGTTTGATTGTTGCTGCAAGAGTTTTAAAAGAGTTAATTATTATGGTATTAGAAGAAAGACAAAAGTAATTAATTATTATGGTATAAGATGAAAGACGAGAGTAGTTAATTATTATGACACTAGAAGAAAGACAAGAGTAATGTATAATTTTGGAAATTTAATAACCGCGATGTTCTTTACTCGATTGCGCATCGGACACATGGCCCTGATCCACAAATACCTCCTACAGGGAGATGAGAAGCCGTTCTGTGTCGGATGCGACACAGATTTTACCATTAGACACATCTTAACCGAATGTCTAGACTTTGGAGAGATCCGAAGGAAATATTATAAATGCAAGAAATTGCAAGATATTTTTTCCGTCGTTGTTCCCAGCAGAATTTTGAATTTTATAAAGGCCATTGGCCTTTATGGCGAGTTGTAGAGCGAATTTGATACTATAAAAATTTTTTATGTTAACTAGAAAAACTATTTTAGATCGAAAATTTATATATGTCTACACAGATTTTTTAAATTTTAACATTTTAAAGGCTAAAAGCTAACCAACCGTGCAGTAAACTTTTGCGAAAGTAAACAACTTGTGTTTCGCGCGCTCATATGACCTTAGCAGTTGCGAGCGCCGTAAAACCCCATACTACCATACCATACCAACCGCGAAAAGTTTAGTAACTTTTAAGGTTGGCTTTGCCAAGGATAAGTGCACAAAGGAAGAAATATTCAACTGGTAGGTGGGAAATCATTGGAAATTTTAAAAAAAGCAATGAGATAGGAAGACAGATGTCTTAATGAATGTCCAAGAAACTTGTGAGGACCTTCATAAATAGATTATTTTTTAGTTTAATGATGCAGAGTTTATAGAATGGTGCACTATGTTACTGGGTCTATTCAAAATGACTTGTTAAAACAATGGACTGCCCTCGTACACTGGGCAGTTTTGAAATAAGGTCTACCCGGGAAAGTAACCTTATAACTAAAACTATTTGATCAATCTTAATGCGGTTTTTTAAAAATTGCTGTTGAATAAATTTGTCTAACAATATAATTTACTAAATGCATCACGATTAGTTCAAATAATGTGGTATGGATTAGAGTAATTCTTTCTATAAAGATAGCGAGGCAGAATATGAGAGTACTCGCCGCTAGTATGTGAGTGGGGCCCAAATTTTGCGCATATTCTCGTCCGTAGCACTGAATGAGTTAATTCATGTGAGATTTCAGTTTGTTGTGCTTATCTTTTGTGGCTTTCCTCTTTCAACTGAAGACTTAACAGTCTGAATGGACTTGTGTTGATTCGACTGTTTTGTCATGCTGTCTTGGTTTCTTGGTCGTGAAACAGGTTGTCACAATCAAAGTAAAAGTAGCTTGATTTTAAAAGTTATTTTAATGTGTGTGCATGTCTTTCAAAAAATAGCAAATCTTATGTTTATTTTCATCCTTTTTATTTTCACCGAATAGTCAAGCTTTCCTTTACCTTTTGATTGAACCTATGAGTAAAAACGTATATATATACTCTTTGGCCATCATTGACTCACCTTGTCGTAACCTGTTTTTATACATTATGGGTGGTTGGTGGGTGCTCTGGTGTGGTTTGCTTCTTCTTTCCTATCAGACTTTTATTGTCCTTTTCTCCCCTCCGTCTTTTCTTGTATTTGTTACTTTTGTAACATCTCTTAATTTTCAGCTCTTATATAATTACCTTATTGTGTTGCTCGTGCTGTAAAACTTCAGGAGCTAGAAAGTTTTATCTCCCCCATTCGCTGTTCTGTTTTCAGAGTGGCAAGGCTCCATGCTCCTACAGGCTGACAGGTGTGGTGAACCACCTGGGGGACTCTCCTAATCTAGGTGTGTACTCTATCTGCAAACCATTTTGCTTTTATGTGTATATATACAGTGTCCTGCTACTTTATTTTCTTTCAGTTGTTTTAATCTGTCTGTCTTACATTTTCTCGACACAAAATGACCAGTGGGTGGTTGGCGGGTGCTCTGGTTTGCTTCTTCTTTTCTATCAAAACATTTATCGTCTTTATATCCCCTCCTTTTTTTTGTTTGTTACTCTCTTGTAACACCTCATCTTTGGCACTTATATGACCTTATTGTGTTGCAAGTGCCGCTTAAAACTCTTACTAAAACTAAAATACAGCATATGTAATTATGTTATTGACCTTGTAGTTTTTAGTCTTTTCATAGGTCTTCCTTTGTCTGTGAACGGGTACCCATTCCCACCTGGGTGAAGTGAAAAATATTATGTAAAGTGTCTTTCCCAAAGAAACAACGTCGGGCCTGAGGTTCAAACCCACGATAAAGAGTTCGGTAGCCTAACCACTTGCCTACCAGTGATGCCAAACTAACTTTCTAAGTGGGTGGTTGGCAGGTGCTCTGATTTGGTTTGCTCCTTCTTTCCTATAAAACATCTATCGTCCTTATCTCTCCTTCTCCTTTTTTGTGCCACTCTCTTGTGATACATCTACAGTATAATCCACTTATGCCGACATCCAATTTATTGACATTTTGATATATCGACATTTTCCAATTACGAAATTTTTCCTTCAATATCTTCCACTAAACAATTTCTCTTATAAACTCTTTTTTTAGGCTCACTCTGCTTTATCGACATGCTTCCGGGCTTGGGTACCTGGTGAAGACCACGAATGTAAATTTAGGTAAAAGCCACGCTAACGGTTAGCGCATTAGTTCTTCATTAAGTCCACATTCCCGCCAAGTATAGCCTATATTGACACACCAGGCGAGTGCTGTAAAACACTTAACTCCCCCCCCCCCCCCCCCAAAACAACCAAAAACAACCCCTTACCATTTCACCATTTCTGTCCTTCCAGGCCACTACATCAGCTACTGCTACAACCTCCACAAAGGCCGATGGTTTCATCTGGACGACAAGCACACGTCGGAGATGGATGAGAGGGAGGCTCGTACCAGGAGCCTAAACACGGGCTATGTCTTCTTCTACATGGACAAGTAAGACCCTGCTGTTGTGCCATCTCTTGCCGAGGGCTCTTGTCCCGTCACTGTAGATTAACCCCTTTGTTGCCTTATCACGATGAGCAAAACTGAGTCAATAGTGCCATAAAGTACCTACTCAAACAAAAACAAAGCCTCATGACGTGCCTGGTATGTCACAAAAATGCGTAGTTGTTTGCTTTGCGGCGTACCATGTACGTCATGGAAGTTCCCCAAAATTTGTCATACCTGGTTGCCGATGAAGTTTTCATGAACATTGGGCTGCTTGTCTTGCAATAAATCTTCTGTGAATTTTTGCCCCAAGCACTGCATGGATTTGATGGGTTTGATGTCAATTAGGTAATAAAAATTGCCTACCGATATCAAATTTGCTAGTATTACTTTTTTGCTAGGCTTGCAAGCGATTGATAAATTCAGAACCCCCAGTGGGTCGCGGGGATATAAATAGACCCACTGCTCCGCCAGCAGGAGGTGCAACCCCTTCACTGGTGATTTGTCGCCCATGGACATCTACGCTCAGGTGCACATGGGCGACACTTGCTTTGGTGTATCGTCTGTCTTCTATCCTCTTTCTTCCTTCTTCTTTCGTCCTTCCCTGAGCTGACCGGGGAGTAAAATAAAAATAGTTGGCTGTCCCATCAACAGGGGGTGTAACCCTCCCGCTGGTGGGATGCCACTCGTACGTCACTAGCTCTCTGACGTAGGGGTGGCATCTTTTGTCCGCTGTTGCTATGTCTTCTATCCATCTATCTTTCTTTCCGATCTGTCGACCGAAGGTCCGGTCCAGCAAAGAATAGACCCCAAATCCCCGCAACGCGAGGCACCCCGTTGACCGTGGGGTGCGACCCGGCCTACTGCACTCAATCGGTTGCGACTGGTTCATATTCCCTCCAAATTATCTTCTATCTTTAAGAGAACTAATAAACCTCAGAGACCAGCTCCCACAACCCTTCATCATGTTGGGAGATTTTAATGCCCATAGCCCTCTTTGGGGAAATGAACCAACTGATACTAAAGGTAAAATCATATAAGATTTCTTAATAAAAACCAATACTAGTATTTTTAACGACAATTCCCCAACATTTCAAAATTCAAATAACCTAAACTTTTCATCCATAGATTTAACCCTTTGTGATCCTGACCTAATTCCAGACTTTCAGTGGTCGGTCCTGGACGACCCACACGGATCGGACCACTTCCCCATCAACCTAATTCCAGATATTCCACACCGAACTCCTATCCCAGACCGTTTCAATCTTAAAAGAGCGGACTGGGATGGGCTTCACATGGAATGTCTGGAGAAACTCAATCCATCTCAAACACAAACACAAACTTTTGAACGATTTCACGAAACCCTTCTCGAGATCGTTCAAAAACACATACCAAAATTATCCACCAAACCCCGAAAAAATAAATGTTGGTTCACTGAAGACTGCCAAAAAGCTGTTGCGGCCAAAAAATCAGCTCTCAGGAAGTTCGTCAACTCTAAAACTAACGAAGACCGCATTAATTTCAAAATTGCGCAAGCCCAAGCACGCAGAAAAATCAGAACAGCCAAGAAAATATCTTTTCGAAATTATGTCTCAAAAATCAACAACACACCAATGCACAAAGTCTGGAAGATGATAAAGAAATTAAAAGGTACTAAGAGGGCTCTCGTGGCCTAGAGGTTAAGGTGTTGGCCTCTCATTCAAAGGTCCGGGGTTCGAATCCGGGTAGCGACCGAAAAATTTTCTTCTCTAAAATTGTCTCCTTTCATCTCCTTTCCTGCTCTCTAGCAATGTTCTGTTGTCTGCTTTCATTTCCACTTTCTGCCCCCACCCCCTCACCTCCTTTGCCCCCTCCTCTGGGCTCCTGACTCTATCTGCAGCCTTTCTACTGCTACTCCTTGGCTCCTCCTTACTGCTGTCTTTCTGCCACACCCCTGATCTTCTGGTAGGAAAGATCTACACCTAGCCTTCTCGGACAAGGGCGAAAAATCTCGGAGGGGCTGTGTGCAAGTTGCGCACGTTAAAGTTCCCTTGGTGGTCTAAAATCGATAAGAGTAGGCTTCGGCCGCCACCCGGGCAAAATTCAAAATTTCCTACCAGCTGAAAATATTGGGATTGTCCCGCGCGCTCATATGACCTATGCAGTTGCGAGCGCCGTAAAACACTTTACAAACAAACAAACAAAAGGTACTAAAAAAGACACAATCAAACACATCCTTAAACCGAATAACTCCTTCGTAGAGACCGAAAAAACAGTTGCTGACTGTATAGCATCAACTCTCTCCGGAAATTCCTCTACCCACAATTACAACCCTGAATTCAAAAAAGTAAAAATGTCTTCTGAAAAGACAACTGTTGATTTTACCTCTTCAAATGAAGAACACTATAATTGCAGCTTTTCTCTTAACGAATTAAAATGTAATATTGCAGAACTATCAAACACAGCTCCAGGCCCTGATCAAATACACAACGAAATCATCAAACGTCTTCCAGACGAAACACTCCTATTACTCCTTGATATTTACAATGAACTCTGGCATTCTCAATAATTTCCGAACAGTTGACGTCTTGCCACTGTTATACCAATCCCAAAACCAGGAAAAGATCACTCTAACCCTTCAAACTACCGTCCCATAGCCCTTACAAACTGTTTCTGTAAACTTATGGAAAAACTTATTAACAAATGTCTAATGTGGTTTCTCGAAACCTCAAACTCCTTATCCAATTTTCAATGCGGTTTTCGCAAAAATCGCTCTACTATTGACCATCTCGTCCAACTTGAAACTTTCATTTGGGAAGCTTTCATTCGAAAAGAGCACCTTGTGGCTATTTTTTTCGACTTAGAAAAGGCCTTCGACACCACATGAAAACATGGTATTCTGAAAGACCTGCATGACTTGGGCTTACGCAGAAATCTTCCAGAATTTATACGAAACTTTTTGAAAGATCGATTATTTCAAGTAAAAGTAGGTTCAACCCTATCAAATTTACACACCCAAGAAGAAGGCGTCCCCCAGGGAAGCATCTTATCGCCCATTCTTTTCGAAATCAAAATAAATTCCATCACAAAAACCCTTCAAAACAATATTGACTGCTCACTTTATGTTGAAGACTTCCTGATCTGCTATAAATCCAAATCCAAAATGGATCACATTGAACGTCAGCTTCAGCTTCAACTTTATAAACTGGAAACTTGGGCAAACGGGCACGGGTTCAAATTTTCCACATTAAAAACAAACTTAGTACATTTTTGTCTGTCGCACAAGTGTGTGCGACAACCAGATTTATATTTGTTTGGAGAGAAAATTCCTGTTAAAAAACAAGCTCGTTTCCTGGGCGTAATCTTCGACAATAAACTTTCTTTCCTACCACACTTGAAAGACCTAAAGACGAGGTGTCAGAGTGCTCTCAATGCCCTAAAAGTATTATCCAATCCTGAATGGGGAGGAGATACTGAAATACTTCTTCAACTTTACCGTTCCCTTGTCTGTTCCAGGCTGGACTATGCCAGTCCTGTTTACGGATCAGCCAGAAAGTCTTACCTTAAAATTTTAGACCCTGTTCAGAACCAAGGCCTTCGCCTTGCCCTAGGCGCTTTCCGTACTTCACCTGTAGAAAGTTTACAGGCAGAAGCGCACGAACCATCTTTGGAACTTAGAAGGAAAAAACTCTCTTTGCAGTACGCTTTGAAACTTAGCTCAGTACCCCAAAACCCAGCCCACAAATGTGTCTTTGGCCTTCCCGAAGACCTAAAAACTCTATCCTCCTTAGGAAATAAAGTAAGCCTTTTCGGAATAAGAATCCAGAACGATCTGAAAGACACTGATTTTTCTGAAGACCTAATCGAGCCCTTTGCCATGTCCAGCATACCTCCATGGCATTTAACCAAACCAAACATAGATACTAGTCTTGAAAAACACAACAAAAAGTCTACAGACAAAACTACATACTTAAACTCATACAAACAGCTAATAAATAGATACCCTGAGGCAGAGAAACTCTTTACAGACGGATCCAAAAATGACTCCTCAGTAGGAGCTGCTGCCCTTGCATCGCCACACAGCTTAAGCTTAAGGAAACTCCACCCAGAAGCTTCAGTCTACACTGCTGAGGCTACAGCTCTTGAAATGGCCCTAAATATTATAGATCAATCAACAAAGTCTACCTTCCTAATCATTTCAGACTCTCTCTCTTGTCTGAAATCTTTAGAGCGCTCTGACACCTCCAACAACAGAATTTTGAAAATTATCATTAAACTGCATTTTCTACATCAGTCTGGAAAAACTATTACAATAGCTTGGCTTCCAAGCCATGTAGGCATTGATGGCAACGAAGCCGTTGACCAATTTGCCAAAGAATCTCTAAAACTACCTGAAAACAAAAATAGTAAAATCCCTTTCTCTGACATGAAACCGAAAGTAAAAGAACACATCACATCCTCCTGGTCCCAAATTTGGAATCAACAAATACACAACAAACTCCTTTACATTCAACCGAAACTTACGCCCAGGAAACTATGTTCTCTACCACGAAGAGAAAAAGTAATTTTTACCCGACTAAAGATAGGACACACGCACGTCACGCACAAACATTTGCTCGAAGGAGAGGAAGCTCCTTTTTGCGTGGCGTGCAACACAAATTTCACAGTTCGGCATATCCTAACGGAATGTGTCGAATTTAATTATGTTCGTGATAAATATTTTAAATGTAAAGATATTAAGACCCTTTTTGACATCATAGAGCCTAGAAAAATTTTAAGTTATTTAAAAGAAATTTGGACTATTTAATAGAATATGAAAATATATAGTTATCGTTGTCGGTGTATATATACATACACTGAAATTAAGATTGTATATACAAATGTAAATAAGCCTTTGCCATATTTACAAAAAAATTTTATAAGCGTTTGTTCATCTTTTTAGCATAACGAAAATAATGTGATAGTGTGCGGTTGCGAACTCCGAGAAACTCTTACTAATAACACGTCTGATTTTATAGCGATGAAACCTGTTGGCGCTTAAATGGCCAAAATTGTGTCGATAGTGCCGTAAAACATCTACCCAATCTATCAATCAATCAGGTGGGTGCTCTTCTTATCATAATCTGTTGTTCTTATTGCTCCTTCTTTACTTTGTATGTTACTTTCTTGTAGTATCATCTCTAATCTTTGGCATTTATATCACCTTATTTGACTCATTTGTTGCTAGTATCATAAAACTTTCATTAAAACTAAAAAAGAACCCCACTCTTAAGTCTCAACATTTTTCTTCTCCTCAGAGAGCTGTTTGACCAGTATGAGAGTAAAGCACCCTTAGATCCAACTGCAAGACACCCACCCAGGTAACGGTTCACCTTCAGAAACTAAAAGTAGGAGTTCTTTTGGCATTCTCATGTACCCAGTTCCTACTGCTTTTCAAGAGTTGCTATTGACCTAACCCGTCAATTTCCTGTCAACCCTTTGATTGCAGACTTAAAATGACCAGCAGACGTTGCCAGATAATCTCGCCAAAGGAATACCAAAGGTGTATTTGATCCTACTGTCCAAAGCCTCGATCGTAGCTCTCCACGATCTATTGAGAAGCCACAGTCGTGGTTCTTCGTGGCAAAGAGGTTAAACTGCAGTCAATCCAGTATGTGGGGGCTCTCATCGCCTAGAGGTTAAGGTGTTTGCCTCTCCTTCAAAGGTCCTGGGTTTGAATTCGGGTAGCGGCCGAAAAATTTTTCTTCTCTAAAAAATGGTCTCCTTTCACCTCCTTTCCTGCCGTCTAACAATGTTCTGTCTTTTACTTTCATCTCCACCCCCTCACCTCCTTTGCCCCCTCCTCTGGGCTCCTGACTCTTTCTGCAGCCTTTCTACTGCTACTCCTTGGCTCCTTCTTACTACTGTCTTTCAGCCATGCCCCTGATCTTCTCGTAAGAAAGATCTACACAAAGGGCGAAAAGTCTCGGAGGTCCTGTGTGCAAATTGTGAAGGTTAAAGATCCCTTGGTGGTCTAAAATCGGTAAGAGTAGGCTTTGGCCGCCACCCGAGCAAATTTCAAAATTTCCTACCAACTGAAAATGTTTAATGTGTCCCACGTGCTCATATGACCTTATGCAGTTGCGAGAGCCGTAAAACACTTACCAAAACATACAAAAGTCAAATTTAGGCCAACGTTAAACTGACTCGCCATGACATTCCCCATATATAAAGGCGGTGGTGGTTGGAAGATGCCGATGCTTTTTCTTTTCTTTTCTGCTGTTCATTAATTTTTTACCTGTCTTATCTTTTTCCCTATACTAATGATCCAACTTGTGTCAATGTGCTTCTTTATACTCTTACAAATTACTGGATGGCCTACTGCCATGTTATAAAATGGTGTAAGTGTGCAGGCAGATTTGCTGGTTGTGATTCTCTTTGCTCTTATTCTCTTATTCTTTTAGTTTCACCGCTGCTTGTTTTGAATTGGCAGGAAGTTGTTCGAGGCACCAGAGGAAAGGGAACCATCGAAGTCGACAGTCAGAAAGAGTCGTGGGTAATTGGATTGTGCTCCTGTTCCATGGGCTACTGCAAGAATCTGAACCAGAAGTGCTTCAAGCAGCAAACACCACCACCCTTTTGTCAGGGTTCCTGCGGTCTCTTTGAATTCAAGGAGTCCTTGAAAACTTCTTGAATTTGCATTCAAGGAAAAATCTCCTTGAAAATTCCTTGAATTTCAGAAAACTCCTTGAATTTCTCTGGATCGGACATAAACAAAATTATGTCGGATTGCTCTTGGCGTGCCGCCGAAAACGCCATGAATTTCTTGACCAAATCTCCTTGGGTTTTTTAAAAATTTGTCCATGAAACCTCCCTGAAATTTCCTTGAATTTAGGGGGGTTCATAGCCTGAACCCTGTTTTGTGTACAAAAGAACTCGCATTTTTCCAAAGAATACATGTTGCAAGTTGCGAATGAGAACTGAACATGTTCCTTGGTACTAGTCCTCTTTATAGGTATTAGATGATACGACACACTGCCGTGATGAATGCATTTTAAGAAATAGAAATTTTACCCGTCGAGTCTTAAAAGATTGTTTGTGTACCTTTTTTTTTGTAGATCATTAATGTTTTACGTTTTCTTTAGGCAAGCTATTTTTATGTTAAATGTACAGGCTCAACTTTGGGTTCAAAGTTTTTCAGAAGAAAAAGAACTGTTTGTTATGTAGCATGGACAAAATGTTAATGTCAATGCATTTTTCTTTTGATGTTGATGTACTTGTATATTACTGTCATGGTCCTCTATGTTCCACTTATTCTTTGCTATTGTTTCTCAGTGATTGAGTTTGGAAGATTGGCACAAGTAGGAATTCAATTCCAGATTGTACATTGTTTGTTGGGAAAATGTTCTTTGAGGGCTGATGCGTATAGTAAAAAGGAGTACTGTTATAGTTAAATTTTTGTAAATCGCCTTTCACTTTCAAAGTACGGAAGAAAAGATATAAAAGTTCTAATTGCTTCTTTTGTCTAGGTGTTTTTATGTTTTACATTCCCTTTGTTCCAAAGTTATGTAAACATAAAAGATGAAGGATTGTCATTCTGTACCAGTTTCATGTGGCATAAAAAGCATCTTAGAATTTCTTCATTTGTACTTGAAGAAGAATAGTTTTATGATCTCTCTTGCAAGTTTTGAAGACATGAATATATTAATGGATCAACACAATGGTCTGTTTTGATTCTGATGTGTGAGCTCTCTGTAATTCACGAGGTTCCACTTCACCTGCTCAAAGTCAAGGATTCTACCCCTTGTATTTTGTTGCCATTTGAATTGTCACCTCTGATCATTAATTTTTCTTTTTTCTTATTTGGAAATGCAAAGAAACTGTTGCTGTTTGTTTATGCTTGTAGTAGTAGATCTAGTTATATTTTGTGTGCTTTTGATCAAAGATTTGTTTTTCTTGGGCTTCCCTTGTGATAAATTCAAAGTGGAAAGGTATGTAATATATATACAGTATATGAATTTCATGACATGGTTTTTTAACTTTTTTTTTGTTGTTAAAAAAGAAAACCCTTTGAAAAAAAGTCGACAAAACTTCACTGTGATATTTATTTCCGAAATTTTCTTGAATGTACTGCGTTTTGTTTTGGTTTTGGTTGTTTTTTTGGGGGGGGGTTGTCTTTCTGTTGGCTCAGGTCATCAAGCTACTGTTCAGAAGAGGCTTGATAGACTGTAGAATTTCTTAAATGAGGATGCAAGTTTCTTTTTGGTTGTCCTGTGTGTGGGTAGTTTTGTTTTGATGATGTTGACACTGATGCTGTCCATTTTGTGGTGTTGGTGGGTGGTTGGTGCGTGCTCTAAGGTGGTTTGCTCTTTCTTTCCTATCAAACATGTATTGTCCTGATCTCTCCTTTTTTGTATTTGTTACTCTCTTGTAACACCTTTAATCTTCGGCTCTTATATAACCTTGCAAGTGCCGTAAAACTTACTAAAGCTAAAGAGCTTAGTGGTTAGGCTACTGACTGGACCCATAATCATAAGATTGCGGGTTGAGGGGTTTGAGCCTCAGCTCAGCTCACTGTTGTATTGTCCTTGTTTACACAAATTTCTTATTTGGCTCAGACCTTTCAGAAATGGATGTTGTAACTTGGAGATCCTCATACATAACCCAATAATGTTAATTAAACCTATACCATTTCACCGTTTTCAGTGTGTGTGTGTGCAGGGTACTTGTTTGACAGTGTGTGTTTGTGTTTGTTTTGACTGTTAACTTTCACAATAACCTATACTGTGCCCGATGCTAAGCTCTTGCATGACTGTAGTGAGGACTTTGTGACCTTGTGACTCCTGCTGTGTCTGATGAGAATAACACTGTGTACCTCTGACGAAAGGAAGAACAGGGAGGTTTGGTTTATGAACAAAAGGGTTCAACACTTTGAAAAGTTAATGTCTTTATTTTATGTCACAAAAAACAAAAAGAGAAGATTGTTTTGTTTTTTATCATGTATCCTTTTCTCATAATTACAATATTATAATAAAGACAAGCAACTTACTAAAAATGTCTCAGCACAAAATGCACTCTGTGGAATCCAGGTTGGTAATGTTCTAACTTCTGCTTTGTTCTTTTTACTGGAATTGTGCACTATTTTTGTAATATTTCGATACAGAGTCGATTTTTTAATTTAATTTTTAAGTGATTTTCTGATTTTCTGTCATAATTTGTTGATGGTCATTCATTCAAAAATTTTTCTACTCTTTAGTACGGTATATAAATTGTGTTTTGCTTTTTTTCCCCCCTCCAACAAGTCAGTGGCAGGGCAAGCACAAGTTTGGTCCAGTTAACATAAATGTCTATAGTATAGTATACATGTCTTTCAGAAAAAATATGTCCTGCTCAATCTTGGTTTGCCCTGTGACAGGTTAGGTTGAAGGCGCCTGTCTTTGTAAGAAAAAGTTAGTTGTTGTTCAGTGTTTGTGGTGTGGCAGTTAGGCACTTCAGTATCGCACGCCAAAGGCATG